AGCCCAGTGGCAGACGGGCCACCGGCCACAGCGCCAGACTCAGCGGGGTCCTGCTCCCCGGCAAGGCAGGGGTCCTGTGAGGGAGCACAGCGGTGTAACCAGAGTGATAGACTCTGCTAACCATAGTGTAACCAGAGTGATAGAATCTGCTACCCATAGCAAGGAAAAACAAAAAAGGTGGGGGGGGATTGGCACCAATTAGTGTATTTTTTTAATCTGTATTGTAGTCTCTGGGTAACAAAATAGTAGACAATGTCTTTCTGTCAAAACAGAATGATGAAGTGTGTTTTCATGTAGCGAAATGAGAAAACTAGCTAGGACTGCCAAGATTAAGAGCCAAATAGGTAACAGGTAATCCCGAAAGGGGGAGATTGCGACCACTGACCCACTGATCACCTACCCAAGTGATACTACCTACTCAAAAGTGAACAAAGGAAGAGGGTAAATGAGTCTGCGCAATAATTTACATGCAAAGCGAGCAAATTTGCACCAATCACCAAAGAGAATAATAATGAATATGTATAAATAACGTAAGATGTATATTGTTTCTATAAACCACATGGAAAAGGTATGAGGTGTGCACGTTTGGTGGAACTATCCCCCGCGCATCCAGAGCTGCAATAAGGAATGCCTGCCTTTTAAGACCACAGTGGTGTTACAAGGTTTTATTCCCGGATTTTCGGTGACGGTATCTGATGACCCAGATGGGACCCTGCTTGTGAATACCAACAGACCTGTGGGATCACAGGACCTCCAGCCAGCATCGAAGGATTGTCGAGGCGAGCCTTGATCCCCGGACTGAAGGATTCCAAGTCAGTCCCCTGGAATTCAATAATAAGGCATTCTTTTAACAGGTAATGGAGCTCTGGGTAGGAGCCTGCTCATAAAGCATAGCGAAATCCACGCAGGGTTGGGCTGAAGAGGTACCTCCATTGGTAAGTCTCTGCTAGGCGTAAGCCTGTGGAGCGGTGCCCAAAGGGGGAGTCGTCAAGCAGGGTTGAAGTCTCCAAGATTGGGACTTCTGGCAGGGGGCTGGGATCCCAGAGAGAGCCCCAAAGACGACTGGAATCCCTCTGACTGGTGCCTGTGATAGCGCACAATCAAAACCACTAGTCTTTTGGGAGATGGGTACATTTCCGAGCAAAAATCCATCCCACAAAGTACACCTTTGGGATGTATTTTAAAGCATTGGAAAGATGTGGGGGGTGATCCTCTGACCACGTTTGGTGGAACTGTCCCCCGTGGATCCAGTGCTGTACTAAAGAATGCCTGCCTTTTAACACTACATTGGTGTTACGTGGCTTTGTTCCTGGATTTTCGGTGACAGTGGGGCAGTGGATGCTGCGACGCTGGACCTCAGGCTGTGGGGGATCACAGCAGGGGACAAGCACGGGGCTGTGGGGACAGTGACAGGGGAGGCTGTGGGGTGCAATGGGGGGACAGGGGAATATGGGCACTGAGCCACGACAGGACAGGAGCCGGGTGGGTGTCTGCAGCAATGCTTTATTGGGAGAATCAGGCGGTGGGGCAGGAGCAGGGCGCCGCAGAGCCGGTGCTGTCACCATCCCAGGAGCGCCCACACTGCCACAGGCACTTCTTCTGCGGGGACATGCGGGTGAAGATGTTGGTGCCGACCCTGCAGGGACACAGAGGGGGGAGAAGTAAGGGTGGGAGATGCACCCTCACAAAGGGCAAATGCACCTTTCAGAGCTGACCGCCCACCCAGCTGCATCCCACCCCCCAGCAGCATTTTCACCTTGGCGGGACCCCCGGGGAGGCCGTGCCCCAGTACCCCATCCTCAGCCCCCCAACACTGGCAGCAGCTCTGCCAGGTACTGAGCACCCCGGGCTGGGGGAGGCTTGCAGTCCTGGTACAGGAGACGCAAGCAGGGCAGGGACAGGGCTCTCACAAGGTAGCTTTCCAGTCATCCTGGATGCTGTCCACATGTGACCGCAGGAGCCACATGGTCTTCAGAACCTCCTTTCCCTCCTTGTCCACGAAGCACTGGCCCGTGAAGACAGTGATGGATTCTGCAGTGTGCAAGGTGGGAGGTGAAGGAGAGCATGGCCGGGGTGGTAGAGCAGCACTGAGCTGTGGCCCTGCAGCCTGCCCCAGTGCAGGGGACAGTAGACCCAGGCTGTCCCTGCCCTCTGGGGACAGCAGTGATGCGGAAAGCAGGCAGGATTGGTCAGAGGGCTGGGGGTCTCCTGTGGAACCTCAGCACCCGATGCCCAGCACATCGTTTGCACCCTGGAGCTGGTAGGTGACACCAGCCAAGGAGGTGCAGGGTAAAGGATGTGGGGGAGCATCAGGGATACCACAGGGGAAGGTAGGGGCTCATCAAGGACATCAGAGGGTGGGCAGCGGAGCATCAGAGACATGATAAGGGAAGGCAGTGGACCATTGGGGTCCTCACAGGGAGGGACTGGGAGCATTAGGGAGGGCAAGGGAGCTCTGTGGACACAAGAGGGAGGGCAGAGGAACTCTGAAGAAGTTAGAGGGAGGGCAGGGGAGATCAGGGGACATCTCAATGGAGGGCAAGTGAGCTGTGTGGACACCACAGGGATGACAAGAGAGAATGGGGGCCTTGAAAATGAAAGCAAGGGACCATTGGGGACAAGAAGGGAAGGGCAGGGGAGCTCTGAGGACATCTCCATGGAGGATAGGGGACATCTGGGGACACCACAGGGAAGATGGGAAAAGAAACGCACCTGTAGTCTTCCAATGGACCGTGAAGCCAAAGGTAGGCTGGCTCATCTCCTGGATGATGTGCTGGTACCCCAGCAGCGGTGACGGCGGGACCTTGATGCTGCTGCCACTCACGGCTGTTTTGTACACGCCTCTGAAGCTGCCGTTTTCATTCACAGCCCCGATGGTCATGTTGGAGCCCAGGTCCT